GAAGACGTGCGACCGTACAGTAGAAACGGTCGCACGTCTCCGTTCACACTGCTCGATTCTCGTACGAGAATCGAGCAGTGTATGGGCACCTTAACAGCAAGCCGGCTCTGAGGATCAGGTGAGTCTAATTTTTTTTTATAATGGCACCTAGACGGAAACAAGCAGTTAACCCTTGCAGTGCGGGAGAAGAAGGATTTCTTCTTTAATTCGGATTATTTATTACAAATGTTTGTTTTTGTATCTATAATAAGGTGTGTTTTGTAATCATTGGTGTTAGTTTCAAACTTGTTAAAAATATTTACATTGAAGTTGTTTATTAATATTAGAGTCCTCTTTACAGGTCAGAAGTGATGTCAGGAAATGTCACTTTACCTGATTAGAACACAGATAAAATCCTAACCCTTATAGTGGGGCTGCCCCTGCACTGCAAGGGTTAAGGGCCCGTTATGTCTAGAAAGCTAAAGTAACAGAGTTATTCTCACCCGAACTGCGATCCCGGCTTGCTCTTTAGGTGGCCAAACACTTTACAACCCTCGCAAAACTTTTGTCTTGCAAGGGTTGTAAAGTAATTTAAAAAATGTACGATCTGCCCATCTTGGACAGGCAGATTGACTTCCGATGACTGCAATGAGGGGCGAGCTTCCGATGACTGCAAATTAAAAAAACAGAAAGGGCACTTCCCTGAAATGAGACGGGAACCTCCCTGAAATAAGGTTTTGCAGATTGGGATGTCTGCTATAAACACCTTGTTTTGATGCGCCTGGAATATATTTATCTCTATTTTAGACTCGGTATCGCAGTGGGAGGAGTCAAAGCATCTAGTCTACAAAGTTCCGCCGCTGGCCCGCCCTTCTCAGCTCCCTCTTCCATTCACAGAGCTCATATCACTAGGATCCCACATTACATCCTGGTGTATGAATTAGGGTTGCCACCTTTTCTTCAAGCGAAACCCGAACGCTCACGCGACGGGCGGACATTTTTTTGGGAGAATGAGTCGCGGCTTATTCATATGTAAATAGTGCCACCCATTCATATGTAAATATCACAGTCAAGACTATTTTTAGTGGGGGGCCAGTAGCCCCTATCTTCATTTTGGTTGCTCCTGTCTCCCTGACATCTTGTGTCCGGTTTTCTGCTGCCATGAAACCTGGACACAGCATTCAAAACCTGGACTGTCCGGGTCAATCCTGGACAGGTGGCAACCCTAGTATGAATGGAGACCAGAGCAGGTGAATGACAGAATATCTACCTCCATTCATAAAACTTTTGACTTCAGTTCTGCTTTGATCTTTACGCAGCAGAGTCTTCATATCTCATTTTTACTATAAGCCCCCACCCTTGCATTATTCTCCCCTGTGATAGAAAACCAAGCAAGGGGTACACCATAGTTTTATTTCCACGCAGCCAGTCACGTGACTTATTTCATTTCAGCGTAACCTCCCCAGCCCAGACCGTCTGCTCCGAACGCATGCGCAGTGCTCCCCCTGAAGTTCCCGGTCGCGTAAAGGTCTCTCGCTGCGCGCACGCGCGGTCTTCCCCTCTTTACGTTCAGGTGTGACAGATGCGGCTGGTGTGGGTCGCCACTGCGCAGGCGCCGCCCCTCGGCTTACTTCACGCGCCCTCTGCAGGAGGAAACCGAGGGCTTGATGTGCGCCTGCGCAGCTTATCTGGTCCATGAGATGCTCTGAAAGGGTTTCTGCACCATTCTCCCTACCTGAGATTGCTGTCTGCCCCTGCAGAAGCCGCGGCCCGGTGTCCGCAGCCTGGCAAGAGGAGTGGCCCCTGGGGCCAATGCATAGTGCACCGCAGCGAGGTCCTGTTCCGGAGGTCAGAAGAGGGTGTGTGACATTGCTCGGCCTTCCCATGGTGAAGGTAAGAACATGTCCTGTGTCTCCTGTGTATGATATGAGGGGGCACAGCTGACAGACAGGGCGATAACACAGTAGCCGCCCATAATATGTATTTATTTATGAGAGCTCCATTTCCTCATTGGAGGGTCTGGGATGGGATTCCATTCAATGTATACAATATATACATTCATATGCTTTTACATAGAGCTGAACTCAGGGCAAATGGCTATACACAGATTTGTATATCTGTCCATCCAGTCCTGAGATTTATTCAGCCCTGTCGCACAGCCAGCCTGGGGACCTGAGTTTTCCCTGCTGCAGTTAAATAAGAGCTCCGGGCATGTACAAAATTAACCCCTTGCAGCGGGGTACCTCTGCACTGGAAGGGTTAAGTGCTGGTTTCGGTCTTGGGTCTAAAATAAAGAAGACATCCAGGCCTGGCTGCTTGACCGGTCTCCGCAGCCTCTCCTGTGGTCTAAGGACCTGTGATGTCATCACGTCCATTCAATTGCATTGGATATGAGGGCTCCGAGGGACATTCCACAGCCGGAGAGAGGTGAGCGGTCAATGCCGTGTGTCTGAGGTTCGGGTGAGTATATCTTTTTTATTTTTTTAGCCCCTAGACCAAAATGAGCACTTAGCTCAGGGGTAGCCAAACTCCGGCCCTCCAGCTGTGGTGAAACTACAAATCCCATGATGCATCTCTCTCTGGGAATCATGTCTGTGGCTGTGAGAATCTTGCAATGTCTCATGGGATTTGTAGTTCCACCACAGCTGGAGGGCTGGAGTTTGGCTGCGCCTGAGTCTTAGCTGGTCTACCCCTGTACTGCGAGGGTTCGATTTGTACATGCCCAGAGTTCTCCTTGAAGCAATTCAATAGGGTTATTGTCACTGCCCCCAGCCTGTGACTGGACGGAGAAGCAGCAGACTGATGAGCTCATCTCTCTGTCACTCTGCTCTCTCCCCCTATCAGTATGTTCTTTGTTAGTACATGATCATGACATTGCATCTGACTGGTGCTTCGTGCTGCTTCTCCCTGAGCTCTGCTGTATGGGGATTGCTAGAGGTGATACAAAGTCAAATTCAAGGCTCGTTCACACCGGCCTGTTTTGGCATACGTGTCGGTGTCCTCTGGGTGCTGTCGGTGTGGTGTGTTGTTTAAACGCAGGGCACTGATGACCCTTTTTGTATTCACCACGCTGACACGAGGGGAGCTGCGGAAAAATGCAGCATGTCCGGACCGCAACGCACCTGGACGCAGCATTGTGGGGTGAGCAGGACACAAAGAAAGCAATTGTTTTGTGTGCCATAGGTAGGTAAATAGAACATCGTCATAGAGATCTGTACATCAGACCAAAAAGAGGGACAACGGAGGAGGACAGAGGGACAAGGGGGTTCCAAATGGTGGACAGTCCCTCCAAATGACAGACATTTGGGAGGTATGTGTTGGAAATACGGGGACAATTGATGTAGCAAACACTGTACATGGAGAACAAACTCCAAGTAGATATTGTCTGTGGTTATAATTGAACTTTCCCAGCACCTCAAACACCCATCGGTAGCCGCGAAGTCACCGTGCTGCCCAGATGGCTGGTGAGCTGCTGAGTGAGCTTGTTGGTGGTACTGATTGTGTGTGCAGTTGGGCCTCGTGAAGGGGAACGAGACCCTCCTTGTTGGCTGTTATGGTGACTTCACTTCTGCGTCTCCTCTGCTCACAGGTTATGCTTAGCCGTCTACTCCTGCCGCTTGATTAGTATTTCCCCACCCAGAATTTTGCTAAGAACCAACATTTTAAGACCTCCAAAGACCCTTTCATTGTTACACCCTGACAAAGGGGTATCAGAAGGTCCCAGAACATTGCTTTGTAACCTGGAGGGCCTGTACTGACCGGCTTTTGTTCACATCAGATGGGTTTTGTATCCCCTGACAGGTCTATGCTTGAAGCAGGTCAATGGCAGGCCAAACGCACCGGTCAGTAAATTGTGATTGATCTCAGACCGATGTCACATTGATGCCAATGACACAAGACTGAAGCCCGTCACCACAGCCCTACCTGGCAATGAATGGTTGTTGTTGACTAAAACCCTGGAAATGCGTTCAGTCCTTCCAGTTCACTATTGTCCGTGGCCCATTCCAGTTACTTCTGCTGCACCCACCATTTCTATGGACATGTGACCTGTGGAATTGTGGTATGGATATGGATTTTCTCCTCCATAAGGCTCACTGTCCAAAAATCAGACGTACTGATGGATGATTTTATGTTATATAAAGTACCTTTTGGGGGGCTAGATGAATATATTTTGAGGTGCAAGCTTTTGAAATCATTTAGGCCTTGTTCACACCAAGCGCGGTGCAGAGCAGAGCAGTTGCAGACCGGATCAAAACTGCGTCCAATGTATTCCAATGGTATTTTTTGCTCCAGTTCACATCGCAGTGTGCAGTTGCAGAGCAGATCCAGAGCAGGTGAAAAAACTGCAGCAGGCCCTATTTTACCTGCTCTGGATCTGCAAACGCATCAAAAACGCATGCAAATGCCTAGAACGCACTGAAAGCCCATTTTAAACTTAAATAGTTTTTTTTTGTGTGCCAAAAACGTGTCAAACGCATCTAAAAGACTAGCGTGCGTGCGCAGAAACCTGACCGAATCTGCTCTGCATTTGGTGTGAACAAGGCCTCCGGGTTATTCACATAGCTGCCGGAGGCAGCTGAGTGAATAACTCAGCCAAAGTGAAGTGAGCCGAACAACGTTCCGCTATTCACTAGGGCTCAGTACAACTGATTGCAGCCATACATCGGCTGAAATCAGACGTACTTCGGCTGCACTTCAGTCAGCCGAACATGCTCAGCATTGAACCAAAGTGCAGAAGGACTCCGACTCAGCTGATTCAACATCTGGATCGGCTGAGCCGAAGCTCCGGCAGCTCACTCACATAGGGGCCATTTTCATAGGGGCCGAAAGGCAGTGAGTGAATAGCCAAATGCCGCTGAGTGGCATTCGACTCGGCTATTCTGCTTTGTACCTCTGTGGTACCGAGCAGAATAGAAAATCAGTGCAAAAGAGTAAAAAAAAAAAAAAAAGGTTGGAAAAATATTTTTAAAATGTAAACACATAGGAAAAGTAAAAAATAAAGATATTTAAAAAAAAAAAAAAAAATTGGGCGGAGCTAGCAGTGACAGCAAGCTCCACCCATCTGTTTCCTATTGGCCAGCACCTGCTAGAGTCTACTAGCAGGTCCCGGCCAATGAACAACAACTGGGCAGAGCCGGCCGAGACGTCACGGCCGGCTCCGCCCACTTGTTATTGTTTAATGACAGATCAGTGTCCCCAGGTCATTTGGGGACGCTGATCTCCCATTACAACTGGGCGCAGTCAGCCGTGAGATCACGGCTGGCTGTGCCCATCTGTCATTTGCGGGGCTTATGGCTGGCCTTTGGCAGGCTGTTTGCCCCGCTTTGGCTGTCACTTCGGCTCAGTCGAGCTGAAGCATATGCCTTTGGCACGGCTGAGCCGCTCGGCCGCCTTCGGTTGCTGTACGGGCTATAGTGAATAGCCCATACAGCAGCCCTTCAGTTCAACTGAACCGGAGGGCTCCGGTGGCCGAAGATCCTTCGGCTCCTTTGTGAATATCCCTGTTAGTTTTCTTCACCAGACATAATTTCAACCTTCATCTATTCTCTACCGTAGATAGGGTAGAGGAGGTCGAAGTTCATTTTTTCCCCTTTGTCCAGTTGAAGAGATCTTCTTACATTTTCTGTCCCAGAGACAATTCAGGAAGTGAGAGGAAATCTCTTCAAATTGAGGGGAAATTCCTTCATAGAAAGTGGTCCTTGGACCAGGTGCCACCATGGGGAGATTTCACCTTACTTTCTGTCCCAGAGGCAACGGTCACCAAGACAAAGAGAGAGAGTAAGAATCTTCATAGTGAGGACACAGATGGACACTAGTTCTAACTCATTCCTACAAAACTAAACTAAAAAAACACTGGAAGAACCTTTGTTCCTTCAGGTCCAGTGTGCAATGGAGTGAATAGAAACTGTATAATGGTCACTGTTTTGTATAAGCACACCCATGTGACTATGCCCCCAACTGCTGATAGGTCGTTTGTGATTAGGTATTGTAGAATGGCTGATGGGGTTATGCCTATTTTATACTACCAGTAAGTAGAGATTTGTAGTCTTCTATAGCCGGTTGCCATTCCCCATTGCTGTATAATCATTGATTGATGGGATCTGTAGTCCTCTATAGCCGGTTGCCCTTCTCCATTGCTGTATAATCATGGATTGATGGGATCTGTAGTCCTCTATAGCTGGTTGTCCTTCTCCATTGCTGAATAATCATGGATTGATGAGATCCATAGTCCTCTATAGCCGGTTGCCCTTCTCCATTGCTGAATAATCATGGATTGATGAGATCTGTAGTCCTCTATAGCTGGTTGCCCTTCTCCATTGCTGAATATTAACGGATTGAGTTACAGTTCTCCATAATTATAAAGAAAGAAACTGCCCAGAAATCATCAGTCTTTAGTGTTTTAGAACAAATGTATCGGTAATTGGTATCGGCGAGTACCTGAGGCAAAGTACTTGGTCTTGGCCTTGGAAAAATGGTATTGGGACATCCTTACTGGTAACTTTATTCATCCTGACAACATAAACAAAGAGTTCCCATCTAGGACATCCTCTGGTGTTTCTCCCACAAGGCTGAGCCTAATCCTAGAGGTAAAATCAATGATCTATCATTGTAGACTTCCTTCTCTGGTATCCGGCTTTTCTGTGTACCGCTGCCTGAGAGCTCAGATATTCTGGAAATACTTCCTTATGGAGACTTATTCAGACTTTTAAATAAGAGAAAGCTTTACATTTTCCTCAGAAGTGCTTTCTGAAGGAGGCCAGAAGTATAAGAACTATATGATCATGTATGGAGGCTGGAATACATATCATATGACCAGTCCTGCTTTGGCTGAATAGGTTGCAGTGACAATACTTATATTGTGTGTGAGATACTACCACTTCATTGGAGACAAGTCCTTCTCAGAGGTTGTCATTGGAACAGGAGTCTCAATTGGATGACTTTCTTCTCAACCTCCCGTTCTGGTGACAACTGTAATATTATGGATTTCCTATCACTTTCTGTCACCAGGAAAAATAGTCAGTTTAATATAGAACCTGAAAGGGGTTCCAACTCTTCCACATAGTGGAACCTTCCCGAGGGTTGGACTTGATGGACTAAGTAACTCTTCCACATGGTGTACAGTACAAAGAAGGGGTATAGCTGTAGATACATTCCAGGAGACACTGTTACCTGCCCAATTATGGGAAGAGTGCGGCAGTGTCTTCTGACATCCCGCCACCCCCTGCAAGGTATACTCTTACATCTACAGTATGTTCCCTCACTGCCTCTCCACTGCAGTAGTCCATCTTTAGTAGGCTATGATGTCGGATCTTTCCTGGGTAGGTGATGTAATCTCTCCCCGTCACAAGGGGAAGGTCACATCCTCCTTCATACACAGAACAGATCATTGTGGTGGATATTGGTGGTGAATATACTTTGCTTAGGGGTCGGCTACCAGGAGGCACTGCCACTGTGCCCTGAATAGGGGAAGAGGTATTGCAAGGAATCAATGAATATTAAAGAAACATGCCAATTGTTGGCCATATTGCAAGAAACCTGGCTGGACAGGAGCAATGCAAAATTGTTAGAGAAAGCAAGGTAAAGAAAGGGAGAAGAAGACCATGGTGGGTAGATGACATGCAGGAAATGACAGGAAGCAGAACATTAAAGCGGACCATTACACTCAAAAATCAAATTCTACCAATGCATCCCTCTATGTATGATGATTAATAATAACATAGACATGTCAGGTGTAAAATGCTGCGATTGTGAAATACTTACACTTGCAGAGCATTCACTTCCTGCTTTGAAAGGGCCAAATGGCTTCAGTTTGCCAAAGCAATGAATGCACACTGGGATTGTCTTGTCATCAGCAGAGCATTGCTGGGAAATCTCATCTGTAATCTCAGGAGATCTCAGGGAAAGGCATTTTCCACCCCTGAGATGATGTGCTTGGTCACATGTCCTAGTCACATGGGCCAGAAATCCAGGAAGTAAAAGGAGAGCTAGTGATCTGCCCTTAGTAAACATGGCCACTGTCAGAAGACTGGGGAAAAAGAGGAATAAGGAATGCAAAGAATACAAAGCCGGCAATTATCTGAAGTATGTGTTTGTAGAATGTCATTACTAAACATTTCTAAAGGGGTGTTTGATGTTATTTTAAAGATCTGGGTAAAGGTGCGCTTTAATCTGGCAAAATTACTATCACTATAGTAAAATCAAGGTTCGGGTTTGAAGTTCCCCAAAGACCGCAAGTGGTAAAGATAATGGCACAACTCCCTGTACAAGAAAAAGTTTTGGGGCACCTACCTAACAACGGCCCAAGTAGGAAAAAAGGTTCACTCCTTATAGATAGATAAACACACACAGGCAAGGAGTAGCAGGAGTAGCAGTTCTGATACCCTGAATTCTCTTGTGGTCTAATATGCTAATGCTGTGAGACAGTGAACACCACCCAGATCCCAGCACCCATCCAGTATAAATGGCCCTCTGCCTCCCAGCGGACCCTCGTACAACTGCAATAGTCTGCACGATTGGTATGTGCACCCCTACCGTTATGTGATTATAGAGGGAGGGAGGGAGTCTCACTCTTATTGCTGGATTTTCCATTGATTTTAGAGGGGGGTAAAAGGACTACCTTGCTTGGCTTTGCAATGGCAGCTGTGTACTGCAGAACCAGGGTCTTCAGTAGGGAGATCTTGCTGCTAAGAAATAAGGCAAGAAAACAAGAAAAGCAGAAATAAAGTAGCGGATAGTTTAAAGCTTATCGACAGGAATTCCTTTTTTTAGTTTTTTTGACAATCATAAACCAAGTTTGTATACGGACACCAGCTATAATTGTCCCAGTCTGCTTACCATTTATCTTTTCTTCTTCTTTGGCATCTCTATATGACGGCACATTGTCAGGAATGACCTGTGCATTGTGTGTGGTTGATTTAAAGTGACATTAAAGTCAAAAATGTTTTTCCCTCCCCCCAATGTTAGTGTAAGCACTTACATTAAATCAGTGGTTCTCAACATGTGTAACCTCAGGACCCACATTTGTCCTTGGTCATTAAGTCGTGACCCAAGTCACACTGCAATGGAATGCGCGGCATTGCGGTACTGCGAGTTCCGATGCGGGCAATAGAACTGTGGGCGGGAGGTGCGTTTGGGGTGCCATTCAAATGAATGGCAATGCAATGCACTTCTCACACCAGCACACGTGGTAGGTGCGATTGCGTAGTACAGTGCGTTATTCGCACGGGACTGTGCGATTGACGCACTGTACTAGTGTGAATGGGCCCTCAAAGACACTGAGACACACACAACCACAGACACAATCTCACACACATACATACACACTGCCAAAAACAAATCATTTTTGTTTTTAAGATCCACCCAGTCTCCTTATCTTACGAGAACTGGATCCTCAGCCTGGGGTCCGGTGTGGGCTGCTGTGCTGTGATGGAGTTCCATCCATATGTGCATTGCTTGTACAACTCCCATGCACACCCTTTAGAGGTGCCGGGAGCCAGAATGTGATGTCACTCCGGTCCAGGCACCTCTACAGGACATATGAGGGATCTGTAAGCAATGCACTTAGGGATGGAGCCCACCCCACCTCACGCTGACACTTGGGCAGCGTATTTTGTATGGCTGCTTGACCTCTCACCTAGAAAAGTGCAAAGCACACGGGGACCCACTGAACACGGGGCCGCGACCCATTTTTGGGTCAGGACCCACCAGTTGAGAACCAAGGCATTAAATGATGTTTCTTAATCCGATCTTCTTCTTTCCTGTCCTTTTCATCTGTCCCTCCAGCGCTGCGACGGGTCTCCGATCCAGCGCTGACTCCTCTGCCCTTGCTGGCACTTCCTGTCCCAGTGAAGGGGGGATTTTTTTCTGGTTAGATGAGAGTTCTGGTTAGTTGAATACCGGATAACGGAGAGTTTACTGTTTACAGGTCAGGAGTTATGCCTTCATTCTGGATTGCTTTGGATCTTTGACTGAAAGCAGAGACAGACTCAGGCAACTGGCATTTTTAGAAGGCGGTCAGCAATAGCAGTTTTATGGCAATGTGTTTCTCTTAGTACGTGTTTCTTTAAATGAACCCTCTTATGTGAGAAAGCTGCAAATGGATGCCCCAGAAGTCACCCAGGACTTTTCCAGCATGTATTGGAGCAGCATATTGGTATATAAATCAATGGATTGTATCCAGTAGGCTATCTTTGTTTTGGGGGAATGCAGAGGCAGGAAAGCACCTCTATGGGGATTAGAATCCTCCTGTTCCCCAGACTCCACACTGGACCCACCCTGGAATTTTGCTCACTGCAGCTCCTCGTGTTGTTTACTCGAAGCAGCTGCAGGAGAGCTTCATGAGGCATCGGCTGTAATAAGAGCCATCCCCGGACTGTAGAACTTGCCGAATCAATCAGGATCTGTAGGAATCTCTCTGTATTAATATAATAGAAAGTGGGAAGTTGCTGAGAATGCAAGTTCTTGTCCCTCCCCAAACACTGTTTTCCTTGAACAGATAGTCCAGATTTTTATAACTCCACCCCAACAGTTTGTGTTGATTCAGTTTTTTATGTTCATTTGACCTATTTGGAATAACTTCTACGTCTTTCTGAGTGCACTACTATGTCTGCTTACATGGGGTGCCAAACTCCTCTCTGACATTTGTGGCAAAGTAGAGGAATGGCCAGGGGTCTTTGTAGAGGCTCTGAGAAGGAATTTCAAGACGCGAATCAGAAAAATTGGGGGCAACTGCAAGAGGCGTCACTAGGGTTGGTGTCACCCGGTGTGGCAACTCATGGTGTAACCCCCCTGAAAAAAATTTCAGTGAGAAAATGATAGAATGTCTCCCCCGCTGTCCGATACAGGAGATCGAGCACAGAATTCTGCAGCCTGGCTTGTGACAGCTGAGACCGGAAGCACCGGATGTTCTCTGGTCTGCTCCCCGAGCTCCATCCTGAATTTATTTGCTGTGCCGATTAAAATAGTCCCCTGTGTCCCCAGGCTCTGGTCGAGGACCGGGACCTGGTGGTGCACTGGTGTCAGCTCTGGATCAGGCTCAGGCTCGGAGTCCAGTAGCTGAAACAGCAGGCAAAGTAGTGGTCAAACAGGCCAGGTTCAGTACACAAGCAGACGGTAGTCGTAGAGAAGCAGGCAGAAGCGTAGTCAGTAGGGATGCACTGATATATCGGCCGCCGACAACATATCGGACGAAAATTGCACTTTTGGCATGGTGCCGAAAGTGCCATTTTCCTGCCGATACATTGGCGCATCCCTGCTTTCTTTCCTCCCCGCTGGCGCTGCTCTATGTCCCAGCCGGGAGGAGAGAAACTGTGATAGCCGGCCAAGCGCTGCGGGAGGAGAGCGCAGTGAGCGGCCGGCGTCTCCTCCTACACCGCTCAGCCGCCTATCACAGTCCGGCAGAGCGGTGTGGGGGCGGAGACAGCGCTGTCACAGGAGGCTGGGCTTTCCTCCCTACACCGCTCGACCAGCGTCCTCAGACAGCGTGTCAGAGAAAAGAGCGGGTACAAACACTCAGTGATCGCTGAGTGTGTGTACATAATTGAGTACATGGTATGTGTACTATATCCTCAATGAATGAAAGGGAGTGATCTACATCACCTCATGTTCATTCATAGTTGTGGTTATAGTAAACAAACAATGTCCTCATGTTCATTCAGAGACATGAAAGCTTTTGGTATATGAAGATGTTAGTATCTAAGCATCAGCTTCTCATTGTGTTTTCTTGCAGTTGTGATGGCAAACGTGAGTCCGGAGCTGGACAACATGGAGGTACAAACACCCCCTAACAACAACAATCGCTGGGATCAGGCCGAACATGTGTGGGACGAGACTGCGGCCTCTGGAAAACTGTTTGAGTGCTCTCGGATTAAAGCTTTGGCTGGTAGGAGTCTGTGTAATGTCAGGGGTTAATAATACAATTGAATATATCTATGTGTTTCTGGATGTAAAGCAGAAAAGGCAACATGAAATGGAGCGAGAAGAGAAGAAAGTGATAGGGTTGTATTCACCACTCTAATCCCATCCTTTACTCCTTGCTGCTGCATCAATTATTAATACTGATTTTGCCTGATCGGATGAGACCTTCTATGGTGTCATTGTTAAGTGTGGGTTTCAGCCTGGCAAAAGTCTGTGTCTTTTCGCCGGTCTATGAACAATTACATTGATATTTCTTGCTATATTTAAAGAAACCCACTGATACTCACTTCTTCAGCGCTTCCACACCACTCCTTCATCAGTCGCAGCCATCGCAAAATACCTGGTGCTACCAGATGCCAGATGTGGCCTTTTCCCATGATGCAGTGCTCAAGCACTATCATGTGACAGAGTAAGTGATGCCATTGCTATCTTTAGGCTCTGTGACCAGCTGACATCAGGAATTGTAGCAGATGAGACGGATGATGGATGTTGTGTTGGGCGGCAGCTTTACCCAGACACTTTCAAATGTCCTGAAAATGTAGGAGGACAAAGTCTGTTTAAAGTCCACTTATACTCACGTTCACGTTTCTCTACTTTGTTCACAGTCCAAACCCTGTGGAAGGGCCTGTAGATGGTTGTAGTTAGAGCATCTTTCCAGGTCTGCATTGCTTTTGCAGCCATTACATGGGAATTCCACTCTTCCTCTTGAATTATTAAAAGAGAACTATGGGGTAACCTTTTTATCCGATAGTTCTCTTTAGGGTCATGGGAGGACATATACCAACCTCCTCCAATGACCCAAAGCTCTAATTATGTAGTGAGCTACAGCTCGCTATATACGGAGAGGGCCGCAGTCAGGATGGATGCCAACAATACTGTCGAGATCCACCCAGCTAGCTGATTGACAGCGGGCTCTGCCTATCTAGAGGCAGAGCCAGCTATGCTCGCCCCTTTCCCGTCCGTTCCTCCAGTCATGGCGCTGGAGGATCGGAGCGGGAAGGGAGGGAATCCCTGCGGGGAGCGGTGACTGACCTCTCTGCAGGGAGAATGATCGGGAAAGTGAGTGAGCGACGGTATGTGTTCGCTCACTTCCAGATCAATAGAGCCGACGTGTGACAGTTTAATTGTCAAACGTCGGCTCTGACTATGGGGATGAGTGAAAATCACTCACCTCGTAGTTCTCCTTTTTAAATTTTAAATGTATGTTTTATATAATTGAGAAGAAAATAGGAAGCGTAGGTAACCCCGAGGTAATTCAGGCATAGAGTCAAGAAGTGTGCAGGAATTCAGAGGGTGGCTCAGCCCACTAGACTGCATCTAGAGAGAAAGTATCACTATGAAGAAGACTGACCCTTTAAAAACCCATATTTTATAAAGTTTATTCTTCTATTTATTATAAATGGTAACTTTTGCAGAATATTCCCTCCACAGATGAACGTGATGCTGTTCAGAAGAAAACCTTCACCAAGTGGATGAATTCTCATCTCTCAAAAGTACCATGTCGTGTTAATGACCTGTACGGTGACCTGCGGGATGGATACATCATCACCAAACTTCTGGAGGTGCTGTCTGGAGAGCAGCTGGTAAGGGCCCAGCACTGTGCACACTGGATGGATGCTGATGTTAATGTAACTGTGCATGTCATGTATGAAGCGGGGTAAATATAAACACATACAATGACCTCTGTGCATCCAGCATGGTAAGAGAACGTAGAGGTAGCCCTAGCATTGACTTTAGATGATTGCTGTTCAATCGAGATGATTTGGTTTGGAACGAGTGATGATTGTCTTATCTATGGCTACCATTATATTAGTGCAGACTTCCTCAGCTGATCATTGGTGAGTAGTATAGATAATTGATAATTTCACTGTGTCTCTTCATTGCATAGAGGTACATGTTTGGGCTGTATAAGCTTGCATGTCTGTTCATATGTCTTTTGTTAAAAAAGAAAAAGACTGATCAGTGGTTGCAATGAACCTGCATGTCCAACGACTTAGTTTATGAACCAATCAGATGTAATTTTACTGAAGCTAAATCAGAAAATAAACTCCATGCTCTTTATCTTAGTGAAAAAAAGTATGTATCTCTGGCCCAAATCCTATGTTGGGTAAGGTATTCTGATATCAGGGGCTAACTATTGTCTGTGACGTGCCTGCAGCCTAACCCTCATAATAGCAGAAGTATTTGGTTCAAAGACCAGGGAACTAGTCCTCTTTATTCAGTGACATCTAGTATCTATCTCCAGCCTAAACCTACCCGGGGCCGGATGAGAATTCACTCTCTGGAGAATGTGGACAAAGCTCTCCAGTTTCTCAAGGAGCAGCGGGTCCATCTAGAGAACGTGGGCTCACATGATATCGTAGACGGCAATCACCGGCTTACCCTGGGCCTTATCTGGACTATTATCCTCCGTTTCCAGGTATTATATGCCATCCACCGTCACATGACAGTTTAAAGACATTGCTGTAGACATCAGTATTAGTATTATTCCACTACTTTATCTGAAAAGACTGAAGTGCATGTAAAGTATAATTCCACAGAGATGTACAGTGTTGGATGGACGTGTGGGATTAATGAATGTTGCCTATTCACCTTTGACATTGGCTCGATTTAGGGCCTAATGCTGTCCTTTCAGCTGCTTCTATTGCTGTCACCTCCTGCGTGAAGCTCAACTGGGGAAGCATGAACTTCATCCATAGTGACCTGTCTGTCTTCTGTTCAATGGTAGTAAGATATCAGCAGTGGTGACACTCCTAAATCTAGTTTGCAGCTTAAAACGTCATTGCATTATTTGCCCAAAATCAGCAACAATCTCATATCCATGTGTGCAAGGGGTGTCTGCAGTATACATGAACATGCATACTATGCCAATACAAGTGTACAAACGTTGGCTACACTTGGAGCAGTTCAGGATGTTGCCATTTAAAGCGGAACTAAACCTACCAATTTAAGTTTCCCAAAGCAAGCTCAAGTTAGAAATGTTTAATTCATGTTATTAAATCCTCAATCAAACAGCAATGTTGTGTTCTGCAGTGTCTTCATTTACATTCTGCCTTCTAACACATGCGCACCGTATGCTGCATTAAAGGCTTGCCTCTGGTGGGTACTGTCATAGATACTAGTATGCGTATGTTTGCTTTCCACTGATCTTTCAAGCCCTTAAATGACCATCACAATGTGCATCACTATGACAACTGCAGATCTAAATAGAGGATAAGATGATGCCGCCCTCTGCGGATAGGAAGGGTTAGTTCCGATTTAATCAGCGGAGAGTCTTAAATCAAAACTCCAGGCAAACAATTAGAATCACAGTTTACTGTTTAACCTGCCACAGTATTTGTAATTTTGTCCAGCCTTGTGGCTTAGACGCCTCTGCCACACTGAACAGCCAGGCAGCTGACACACTTAATTCCAGGTTCAGCAATGCAGCTTTCTGTGTGAACTCTCCAACACCAACCTTGATCAGCATTATGACTTCCATCCATTCAGCATGGAAGTAATCTAAGAAGCAGTATGAACAAGCAGCAATGGTTAAACTAGTAGAGGGGTAGGCAACCTGCTCTCCAGCTGTGCTGAAACTACAAATCCCATAAAGCATTGCAAGCCACAGGCAAGACTCCCAGAGGCAGAAGCATGATGGGATTTGTAGTTTCAGCACAGCTGGAGAGCCAAGGTTGCCTGAACTAGTAGTAGTAGCAAAGTGATATCCCTAGCTTGCAGCATGGCAGAGGTGTGTAAAGCACAACACTGTCTGTACAGAATGGCAAATCCTTTGGCAAATAAAACAGTAAACATTTGTGTATTTAGCTGTTTGCATATTAGGTGTCTGTGCATATCATACCTTTGGTTACCTTCTCTTTACTGCATTAATACATAGTGCCATCTGGGTCTGCCTGTAATCAGCAGGAATATACCACCTTCTTACATCTCATCTTGATCTGACATGTGCTTTTTCCTAGCGGGAGTAATGTGGCATCAAACTGAACAGGTAAACACAGAAAGCTTGAATCTAGGAAAAGGATTCAGCTTCCTTGGGTATTCCAATGCATTATCAGGGAAATAGAATCACCCCAGCATGTTGTGGGTTATTACCCTGGGCCTCCTCATTTCAATATCATACCACTGGCTACCTTTTCTTTACTGCACTCGTACAGCGTGCTATGCTGTAATCTGGGGGGGTACAATGTCTTCTTTCATTTCATCTTGATATGATATTTGCTATCCCTACTGAGATTAATGTAACATCAGAGTGAGCAGGTAATCACGGGAAGCTTGAATCTACCAAAGGATTCAACTTCCTTGGCTTTTCCAGGGCAGCTGGGAGATGTTATGACTCCAGCATGGTCTGGGTCTGCCCTTGAGCTTCTCTCCATTTGAATAGGCCTGGAAAAGCTCCCATGGTAGTAAGATACCCATACCACCTCAATTGTCCCTTCCTATTTTAGACTCTACTTAAGACCCACTGAATTTTTCTCCCTATCACCCATTTGCAGATCCAAGTTATCAAGATAGAAACAGAAGACAATCGCGAGACAAGGTCAGCAAAGGACGCCCTCCTCCTTTGGTGCCAGATGAAGACTGCAGGGTGAGTTCTGGGCACATATCTACATATGTGAAGTGAGCCAACAAATAACTTTATATTAAACAATATTGTCTTTGTGCAGCTATCCTGAGGTCAATATTCACAACTTTACCACAAGTTGGAGAGATGGGCTGGCCTTCAGTGCTCTGATCCACCGACACAGGTATTGGGCATGAGAGGCAACAAATATTACTTGTTCTCTTTCTAGAAATGAATCATTTTCTAGTGTTTTCTGACACATTTTGCTCTATGATGTGATAAGAATATGCACTTCTTACTGGTGTACCTTTTCTGTACTCATTGTTACAGGATTATGATTTTAGCAGACAAAACTGTAATATAGTAGTAGCTAGTATCAGTTTTTATCTACACTGCATTTTTCATTCCATAGGTTACATGTTTTTTAATTTAAAGGTAACCTTGCAGAATGATTGTTACCATACACCAGTGAGTGTAGGTGATTGCCCTTACCTGACACGCAGAATCAACTAATAGGCAGAAAGCACTGTGCTGATCATATACCTACCTTCCTGATTATATTTACCTAAGCTTTGTCAATTCTTCTTCTGACATTTGTTTAAATGTCAGGTTAGAGAGGATCAGGAGCAGAGTGTTCAGTGCTTTCCAGAGAGAAAGTCATGTTGGAGGGTCTGCAGAAGCAGCATTAGTCCTGGGTATTAGTCTTCTGCTATTGCAACAGTGCATCAGTAGATAAACACCCAGGAATGGCAGAAGTTTTAACTGGCTTTAGATTACATCAAGCAGTGCCACGGCGTGCTAAATGATTGTTAAAAGTGAACCTGAACAGGATTTGAACTATTGGACCTGAGGTTACTGATTTTCATCTTAAAGGTAAAGTTCCACGTTTGTGAGCCCAATGCTGGCTTCAGTGCCCAGGTAGTTACATACTCAAAACTAACATGTAGCCAGCGAAGTCTGAAATGTCTTCTATCCGGCATACTTGTTTCAGGTTTGTAAAATGATAGTAAAACCTGGATTTGGATGACAGCTGCTCAGCCTGTACGAAACGCTCAGCAATAGGGTGCTTTAAGGAGTTCAAGAAAGAATGGTTTTGTTAATGTTCTGCAGAATAGAGCTCACAATCAAAGACTAAGCAGTGACTGTGTGTTTAGGGCTTTAACAGACACACATGTACCAGAAATGGTCAGATACCTGAATTGTATTTGTGTAGTATTCTTTCTGACCAGTAGAGGAGGGTATTTATAAATCATAATGCATCTCATAATGTGTACATCTCAAATAAAATCAAATGTCTCCTTTTTGTGCCATGCGTTCAAACTTTGTGGGGGTTTTTTTTTTTGACAACTGGGATCTAATGTTGTGAACTGTACATCCACTTTAATACCGAACAGAACAGATTTATTGATTTTATCAATTGTTTTATTTCCATAGACCAGATATAATTGATTTCAGCAAGTTGACAAAGTCAAATGCAACCCACAACCTCCAGTACGCCTTTAATGCAGCTGAGCAGCAACTGGGTCTGATCAAACTTTTAGACCCGGAAGGTGAGTAGATGTGTATATTTGACTAGGGAAACCTGGGGAATGTGAGTCTTAAGCTGACCACCCATGGATAGAATTTTGGCCAGTTCATAAAAAACCAGGCGGAATTTACTCTGTGGATGGTTCTGTTGGCAGCCTCCCGCCCTACATCCTTTGATCTGAAAATCTAGGGAGGCGGGTGGAAAATTGACCACTGAGCAGTGATTGCAGCCAATCAGCTGGCACACCCACCACTGCCAGAATACAATAGCCTGGCAGGGGGGATTCTCCCATCCACACTGTTTAGTCCACTAGTGTATAGTCTGCTTTAAGATGTAAAATTAAAGTGTATGTCCTGATGAGGTTTTTTTCTTACTTTTGGATAGACTGTGGAAGGAAAAGAACTCCTCTTGGGTTGTAGTGCTATCCAGGGCTCTGTTAAAATGATTTCCCTATACTGACATCCCATTGACCACCATTTCACCAGACCGGAAATTAGGGAAAATCTCTTAACAGCACTACAGACAGAAATAACAATGTGTTTTAATTTTTAATAAAGTAGGTAGATTGGAACCCCTGTAAGCCTTTTATCGTTGCCTATATCCTTATCCCTACACTTTCTGTCCTAAAACCATTGTCACTGTAAGAGTAGATCTCCCAAAAAGCAGACAGGGGTTCTAATCCTTCTCAACTCTGTGCAAAAATAAGTTTTGATTGGACTTTAAACAATTAAGACTGCGGCACTGAAAAACAATATCGGCTTAAGAATTAATGGCATACATGTCTATGCACATACTGAAACATGGAAAAATAACTGTTTGATTTTTAGATTATGAGTAAACCTCTGACTGCTGTTAAGGTCACAGATATGTTTTTTATAAGCACTGGTCACCTGTATACTATAGCTAAACTTGGTGAATTGTCAAGATGAAAAATGCTGCTAATACATACCAATACCTTACCAGGAACCCTTATTTCAGGCTGCAGTAGCACAGGCAGTGTTACCTTCTTTCTACCTGCATTAAAGGAGAACTATGTGGAGAGTGACATACATTCATCCCCATAGTTAGTGTTGATATGTGACACTGAAGCTGTCACACGTCAGCTCTATTGATCAAGAACTAAATGATCACAAAGCTCTGATTGCACAGTTCCCGATCTTCTCCCTGCAGAGAGCGGAGACCGTCTGTCACCACTCCCTACAGGGATTCCCCCTCTCTTCTCCTTTGTTCCAGCGCTCATTGGAGGTACAGACTGGGGAGGGGAAGGGGACAGCTGGCTCTGCCTGTAGACCTGTCAATCAGGTATTGGGGTGGATCCTGACAAATGTTGTCGAGATCCTTCAAGGCTGCAGCGCGGCTCTGCACTGTCAACATATAGTGGGCAATATCCTGCTAATATACTGAGTTTTGGGTCACAGAAGGACATTAGTAAATCCTTCTGCGACCCTAAAAAGAACTATGGCCATAGTTCTCTTGTAAAAGACTTTATGTATGTAAGGAGGAATGATCTTCATCTTGCCAGTACTGCCAAGTTTCACAGGTGTGGTACAATATGCTTGCTGTGTATTGCACGTGATCGAGTGCAATGTACTGCATATGGGTTAAGTCTATAAGATGAAAAGTTGTATGATTACCATCAGTGTTTTTCTTGTATTTCCTCTCTAGATGTTAACACGGAGAATCCTGATGCGAAATCCATCATAACGTACGTTGTGTCCTTTTACCACTACTTCTCCAAGATGAAAGCTTTAGCTGTGGAGGGCAAGCGTATTGGAAAGGTAACTTTTGCCCCAGTACAATAGTTCCTAGCAATCAATCAAAATTAATTTGTCATTGTTCAAACTAAATTGATTAAAACGAAATATAGGTTATACAAATTCTCTTCAGTATCACTTCCCAGTCTGTCCCCTTTACTTCTCTTGGAAATTTGCAGGTTTATAACTGGTTTACTTTACATGTTTTTTTTATTGCTTAGAATGTTTGTGCCTGCATATGATGATGTGCCATTCAACAAAGTCTGAGGAATTTCATTGGCTAAATACACTCATTTGCATTTGCTATATTTCCTTACAACTGACTGAAGGCTTACCAGCTGTTCTGACAGTGTGTAAGAGAAATGTGGGTGATTTCAACTAATAATAATATGAATATTAATAAATAAGATCCATATTATTTATCAAAGGGGTAGGTCAGCTAAGAAACACACACCATAAACTGTAGGTTTAAAGCAGTGGTTCTCAACCTTTCTAGGGCCGGGACCCCTTGGTAACATTTGCCAAGTTGTGGTGACCCCCAACGGTAAAATTTATGGATGACACGGCTGCTGCAGCGACATCTGGCGGCGTGGCGGGAGAACTGACACTGCTGCACTAGGAGAGGGCTTAGGAGGACTCTCACCTAGCACAGCAGAAATCACACAGCGACCCACAGGTTGAGAACCACTGGCGTACGTCGTTAGAATAATAAAAAAATAAAAACAAAAACCCCACCATAGGAATGCATAGCTAGATTCCTATTGGCTATTTCACTTTGCAATAGCCAATAGCAAACTAGCTATTGCACCCGCCCTCTGCTACTGTCATTCACTAGAAGAGGACCTGAGGGAGAACTTCAGGTCCCCCTCTACTGATTAACATCAGCAGAGGGCCGGTGCAATAGCTAGTTTGCTATTGGCTATTGCAAAGTGAAATAGCCAATAGGAATCTAGCTATGCATTCCTACGATCGCGAGCAGAGTAAACCTTTCCGGGACAAAGTGTTTCTCTCCTAGGCAGCCGGGAGCCGCTATCTAAAAGCTGGCGACCCCTGGCAAATTGTCATTTGACCCCCGACGTGGTCGCGACCCACAGGTTGACCCACAGGTTGAGAACCGCTGGTTTAAAGGATATATTGTAACAGGAATTTAAATATACATAGCTTGATTATTGACAACGAAAAGATTACAGTAATACCAAAAACAACAAATCACATCAAAGAGTACTACCAAAGGAACACTAGAACAGCACTAGCAAACCTACAATATTAAAATAACAATACTAAAGCCGAGAAGACACCAACTCAACACCTCTACATCATATAAAATATGATAAACTGGTTGGCATTAATTGTCGAGTGAATGTACGGCTATTACCAATCCTCTAAGATTTACACAGGTTCTGGACTTTTTTTCCTGAAATGGCTTCCTCCCAAGAAGGCTTCCTCTGAGAAGGACTCCTCCACACGGCTTCTTCTCAGATGGGCCTTTCTCCCCAAAATGGCTCCCTCTCCCTCTGAGGGTCTCCTCTCAGCTGTGCCTCTCTCCCAACATGGCTTCCTTTCTTTTTCTGGTGGCCTCTGCCTCTTTTATTCTAACTAAGCCAATTCACTATTATTAGAAACCCCTGATTGGTCCAGAAAACCTAATCAGAACTGTTTCAAGATGGTGATTGGATGGCAAGTTACACCTTTAAGAATCCTCCACCATATACACATATTAAATTATTAAATGAATATATAAATTGATTTAATTTTAATGCGAGCCTTGTGATTTCTTACAAGTGAAGGTCCACAATTGACCATTTTAGAACTTCAGTTCCCCAAAATCTGGAGGGATGTACTTTGCCAGCTTTTGTACTATAGGCTTGTATTGTCTATTGTCTATTGTGTGCAGGTGCTGGACGAGGCTATTGCCACTGAGAAGGACCTCTACAGATATGAAGTCTTGGCAACAGAACTTTTAGAATGGATTGAAAGAACCATATCTATCATCACAAACCAGAAATTCGCCAACTCCTTGCTGGGTGTCCAGCAACAGCTTCAGGCATTCACCACGTATTGCACGACCGAGAAACCCTGCAAGTAAGTATGAGCCTTCATTGACACATTATCTCGTACACTACAGTATACCAAAAACAGTTCCTCTGCAATGGTCTTTCACTCACTGTTAGTAGATCTTTATGTGCCAGTGCCTTCTGCAGTGTGTAAATTAGACAAAGGCTAGACAAAGATCCTCACAGAACACAACAAAAACTCGAAAGTGGTTCTAATCAGGTTCTAATAGCTTAGAAACATCTGCTGGCTGTTTACATTAGGGGACTGATGGGCTGCCAAGATCTGTTCTCATAGAAACAAACTGTGCTTGTGCTGGGAACTTTGAAAATTAATTTGCCTACAATGCCTATAGATACAAAGATGATTGATGGCTTGTTTTAAAGTGTGTTTACTATTTGTTTGGAATATGTAAGTACTTTAGTGTGCATGATTCAAGCACAGGCCCCCTTTAAAGTCATCCCCCATTCTAAATGGCTGCCAGGGAGCTGGAGGACCACCATCCTAAATGGCTGGCAACATGCTGGAAAACATGAGGGAGAAACACAGAAAATAAAACACAAAATCCTGTTATATCCTGAGCTCTGGTCCCTGTTTTTTTTTTTGCAAATGTTAACATATCCACTTTGTAGGGACATATACAGGAGCAGTGTTATGATACACATGAATGCCTAAGCGGTAACAGTTATACATCGAATGACAACATCGTTTTGATTTCACATATACAGTATGTCTGTATGCCGGATTACCCCTCAAAGCTGTTATTATTGCGCTGGTTTCCCATCAGCTTTGTTATTGTAAAACTGCACTGAAATGTTCCTCTGTGAAAATTAGATAAAAAATCTATATAAAAAAACTGGAGAGCCACTTGGAAAAATACACGTCACATTGTAAGAAGGTAAAACGTGGTCTAGATTGTTTATAGGGGGATTTTTTTTAATCTGCTTAAAAGTAAGTTATAATCATAGTCTGACCATTGCTGTTCTTTACTTTTACCTAGATTCCAGGAGAAGGGTAATTTGGAGGTTCTCCTTTTCACCATTCAGAGCAAGATGAGGGAAGAGAAACGCAAAGTGTATGTTCCACCTGAGGGAAAAACCATATCTGATATTAACAAGGTGAATTCTTTATTATCAATATATGATTGTTCCTGGTTGGACCCCATATTTACTTTAAAGAAGAACTCAGAGCAAAGAAAAACGTACCCTTGTAGTGGGGCTACCCCCCTCGCACTGCCATGGTTAAGTGCTCGTTTTGTCTAGGGCAGTGGTTCTCAACCTTTCTAGGGCCGGGACCCTTTGGTAACATTTGCCAAGTTGTGGTGACCCCCAACTGTAAAATTTAGGGTTGACGCGGCTGCTGCAGCGATATCTGGCGGCGTGGTGGGAGAACTGACACTGCTGCGCTGGGAGGGGGCTGAGGATGACTCTCACCTAGCACAGCAGAAATCACACAGCGACCCACAGTTTGAGAACCACTACTGTAACAGCTAAAATGGCAAACCATATAACGCAAGCCGAGGGTGTCAGCTTTTATTATTAATAATAATGATGATAATCACTAGATGGGGACCTGATGGAGAACTGCAGGTCCACCTATGCTGATTGACAGCAGCAGTGGGTGGGTGCAATAGCTAGTTTGCTATTGCAAAGTGAAATAGCCAATAGGAATCTAGCTATGCATTCCAATGCTGATTTTTTTTTTTTTTCTGACTTACGGCGGCCGGGGCTCCGATGTCAGAAATAAAACAAAAACGATCACAGCGAAAGGTTTACTCTGCTCGATCGAGCAGAGTAAACCTTTCCGGGAGAAAGTGCTTCTCTCCCGGGCGGCCGGGAGCCGCTATCCAATAGCGGGAGACTCCCGGCGACCCCTGGCAAATTGTCATTCGACCCCCGAAGGGGTCCCGACCCACAAGTTGAGAACCGCTGGTCTAGGGGCTCAAAGAAATCTGTATTGCTCACCTCTTTCTTTTTATTTGTGACCACGCCAAGAACAAAAGCAAATCCGTGCTGGCGTGGTCAGTTTTGGTAACCCTGCTTCCTCTTTTCAAATACAGAATGCTATGCTGATACACAACATGCCTGTATTTTCAGTGGCCAAATTAGCTGCCATCCTGTCACAGCCCTGTTGTCTTGATTGACAGCGACTCCCAGCCATAGCCTTGTTGTGGAAACAGCAGCTGCTTGCTTTGCCAAAACGAACACTCTTCTCTAATGCAGTGTCATCTGACTAAAACACATTGATGGTAATTTATGAAAACTGGAACAGACAGAATCTGGAGCAGTTGCCCTTGGCCACCAATTAGTTTCTCTCTTTCACTTTCACAGCTTAAAGTGACATTAAAGTCAAATGTCCCCCCCCCCCCTCCGCCCCAAGATTCTTTGCGGCCGTACAAACAGTTCCAGATTCTCGGCGCGGGAGCGAGCAGCGATAACGAGGTAGGTTTAAAACTAGTTAAAGCGTTTTTTTTATTTTTTTATTAAACGTCTTGCCTATATCTATTGCTTGCTAGCAGTAGATATAGGCAAAAAAAAGGAGGGTTTAGAACCCCTTTAACTGAACGAACTGAAATGAGAAGCCGATTGGTTATTTTGGGCAACTGTTCCAGATTCTGCCTGCTCCAGTTTGATAAATTCCCCCCAGTGTACACAGAAGTTTTTGTGTGTGATGACATAAAATCCGTGTCCGCTT